TGGCCCCAGGAAGACCCCCATATGAAAAATCAAATTTACAATAATTATGGATAATGACAAGAAAAAAGCGAAACAAATGGTTGTAGCCATATTATAAATGAACCCAAATGACATCATTTTCATTGCATTTATCATCTCGTGAATGCTGTAGCTGCGCAGTTCTGACATGATTAATTTCCTTCTAATTAAAACAAAACAAACTTAATCATTTACTAATTTTGGTCTCTAACGGTAGGTAATGAGTGCATTGGTACTTTGAGCAACTTTGGGCTAGTTTGGTAGAGCATTAAGCGCATTCTTGGTATTTCTTATTTTACATCAGACTAGATCCAATATGGCTTGTACATCCCCCTTAAAGTTGCGTTTTACGGGTAAAATTTTGTTTTGAATCAGAATCTGAAATATCCATGTTGAACTTTTGTAAAAATCAATGTATAAAATTTTTAATTATTATTTCAGGTTATATAATTTTTATGCAACAAAATCATAAAAGTAAATTTATACAAAATGTTACGGGTAAGAGAAAGAATCTTACAATACCATGTTAAAACCTTTTGAAAAAAAAATTTGAAACCATTTGGGGAAAAATAGACAAAATCAAGATCAAAACATTTTGAAAACCTTTATATTTTGTTAAAAAATTTGATGATGGGAAAATTATTTGATTCTGAATTATTTCATTTACCAATAAATAAAGGTTATTCTTTCCCATATTTTTTTATTTTTGTTTTCTTAAAATAATTTCGAAAGAAACCACACAATCTTTTTAGTTTCCATTACGGGCGGCGTCTTTATAGATGTACGTAACACCTCCCTCTGTTGAGTATCAGTCGTATGTACCTGATCCTAGTTGTTGTTTTAACAATTAACTGACACGTTTTTAAAGATTTTACGGTAGCCTGAGCTTGAATATTCTAAAATATATATCATCAACCTGAGAAGATACAATTTTGCCCCCCCCCCCCCCCCCCCCCCGAAAAAATAACTGAATTAAAAAATTGATAAGAAATAAAAAGAAATAAAAATGAATGTCGTAAAGATTTATTCTTATTCGTCTGTTACGACAACTTTTATTATTCATATATATATAAAAATTAAAATTCGGATTTAGCTTAAAATATTACGTACTATGTGTACTTAGAATAATATGCTTTATCACCATAATAAAATAATTTGTTGAGATCCCGAAAAAATATTAACCCAAGTCCCGAATCGTCTTTACCCAAGTCCCGAACCGTCTTGTTGCTAGTCCCAAAACGTCGTATTTGTCAGGTCCCGAAACATCGTGCAACCGCCTGTCTGATCTTCGATGTACAGACAGGTAACCACGAAGGTAAAGGCCGTGCTCATTGGCTATCAATTATAACGTCCGATGTCTCTGCACTATGTGATCTATTTTGGTTTCCCCGAGACATTTAAATTTCTACGTCAGCGTGAGTTTTTATCAGCCAAAGATTGATTGATTGTATGTTGTTTAACGTCCCTCTCGAAATTTTTTCACTCATATGGAGACGCCACCACTTGCTGGTGGAGAGCTACAAAGTTTGTCCTATACTCGGCATTAAGGGCCATTGAGCAGTGATGGATCTTTTTTGTGCCAGCACCTACTGCGACACGGGACCTCGGTTTACACGGTCTCATCCGAAGGACCAGTCTCCACGTCCCACAGTGGGATTCGAACCTGCGACGTAAGGATTGACTCCTTACTTCGCGACTCTAGAACAGACGCTATAACCACTGCACCACGCGGGCGACTATCAGTCAATGAGCGCGGCCCTTTACGTTACTGGTCACCTGTCTGTATATCGAGCTCGAGGATCAGACGACAGGCAAGACAGTCTATGCTCAGACTGGTTAACACGTGTAAACTTCCTGGAACCTCTTGAGTATTACCAAATCCGATATACGATTAGATTAAACCACTGAAATCCTTCGTAACAAACCAAAATAAACAATCCCTTGGATACAATGGAAATGAAAAATTATACAATACAAATGGAATATATAGAATACAAATAAAAAAATCATACAATACAAATGATTTTTTTTACAATATAAATGAAAAATTATACAATGCAAATGAAAAATTATACAATGCAATTAAAAATTTTACAATGCAAATGGAAAATATAGAATACAAATGGAAAATTTTACAATACGAATAAAAATTATACAATACAAATGGAAAGTTTTACAATACAAATGGAAAAGATCGAATATTGCAACGTTGGACTTGCCATAGTCTCATGACAGCATCTAGTTGTATATTGTTAAACTTCCCTCTCGAGAATTTTTTACTCATATGGAGACGCTCAAAATAGAACTGACACAAAAATAGTTCCTGAATCGCCCCCCTTCAGATTCGCGTTTTTTGCATGAGGCTGGAGCTGTTGTTTTAAATGAGATTAATAAAAAAAACTGTATTCTATTTTCCTGTTTTGACCAGATCTATAATTATCTATGTCGTGCAGTAAATTTTATACATGGTTTCTATAAAACTGTAGCTAACACTATTAATGAACTGAACCCAAAATGTACTAAAAATTTTTGGAATTCTTTAAAGTCAAACATGCAAAATCAGGTTGAGGCAGAGTCACCCATTAAAATATCTCAATGGGTTGACCATTTTCATATTCTATTAAATTCTCACGAACATGACATAGGTATGGATATTAATTGTGAAGTTGACAAAAACAAACCCCTAGATTTTCTATTTACACCTAAAGAAGTGCATATAGGAATATCGAGCTTGAAATCTGGAAAAAGCTCTGGTTTAGATCTTATTCCAAATGAATTTATTAAAATAAGTTCTGATATTTTCCTGCCTGTACTGGTTAGAATTTTTAATAAAATTCTTCAGAATGGCAGAATGCCAGAATTATGGAACCTCTCATTAATCACAACTTTGTATAAATCTGGAGATCCAGGAAATTGCAATAATAATGATAGAGGATTAAGTGTAACAAGTTGTCTCGGTAAACTTTTTAATAGACTCCTTCAAACCCGACTTTAATAATTATTTAGAATCAGAAGGGTTGTTAAGTCATTTTCAGGCAGGATTTAGAAAAGGATATCGTACAACAGATAATGTTTTCATCCTCAAATCTTTAATGAACAAGTACCTGTATAATAAAAAGAAGGAATTATTTTTGTGCTTTGTTGATTTTTCCAAAGCTTTTGATACTGTATATAGACCAGCTCTTATGTATAAGATTTTGAAAAAAGGTATTGGTGGAATTTTTTTCAGTATTATAAAACATATATACTCTACTACAAAATGTGCTGTAAGACAGGGAAATTATTATAGTGAGTTTTTTTTATACTACATTAGGAGTTAAACAAGGGGACAATTTAAGTCCTACTTTATTTAATATTTTTGTTGCCGACTTTGAAAAGTATTTTGATAAAGTTATGACCTACCCTGTATGTTTAGGTGATTTAACTTTTAATCACTTATTTTTTGCTGATGATCTTGTTTTATTATCAGAGTCAGCTGAAGGCCTCCAAAATTGTATAGACAGTCTTTCAAAATATTGTATAGAATGAAAGTTGCATGTAAACTTAGAAAAAACAAAGGTTATGATTTGCTCTACCAGAAAACTAAAGAAATAGTATGCATTTTATTATAACAATAATAACATTAATATTACTGATAAGTACAAATATCTTGGTATATTTTTACAATCAAATGGCAATTTAAAACATGCTTGTGATGACCTTGCTGCCAGAGCCCGAAAAGCTTATTTTGCCTTAAAGGATAAACTACCCTTTGGCTCAAATCTTTCTCCCAGCTTGTGGTTAAAGCTATATGAATCAATTATTGTTCCAATTTTAACATACTCCTCAGAAATTTGGATCTCTGATTTTAATACAAATCCCAATAATTTTGATAAAACTCCTTTTGAAAAAATCCAAAATTTTATCTTAAAAAACATCTTAGGTGTCCATAATAAAGCATCAAACTTAGCAACAAAAATTGAATTAGGTGTTTTCCCTGTACATACCAAAGTTTACCATCTTGTTTTTAAATATTATTCCAGATTGGAAAAATTAACAAAAACAAATAATAATTGCAATGTCTTACTCAAGAATGCTTACTTGGAAGATACGCGATTGGCCAGTGAAAATAAAAAAATGTTGGCAAAGTTGTGTAAAATCAATGCAGAAGATGTTAGATTTTAACTTTGACACAGGTTTTAAAACTTTTAGGCCTAAACTTAAAAATTTCTTTGAAAATAATTTTTTTTTCTGAACTTCAACACATTAACAATACTCAATGCGGTAAGCTGTCATTTTATAGTATATTATTCAACTACGATGCTAAGAAACTGGAAATCCAACCATACTTGTGTTTTCCACTTCATAAGAATTTATTTTATCTTTCCAAGTTAAGAATAAGTGCACATAAGTTGTACGTAGAAACAGGTAGATATTGTAACTAACCCTGTCATTCCTAAAGAAAATATTGTTTCCAATGTAAAACTCTTGTTGAAGATGACATACACTTTTTACTTGATTGTCCTGTGTATAAAAATGTCAGGAAAAAGTATTCAAGGTTACTAGATGTTAATAACTTATCTTGTTTGCTTATTCCACATAACTTAGTATCTACGAAACAAATCTGTCTATATATATCAGAGACTGTTTTGATATTAGAAACAAGCTTACAATAGTATAATATCTTGCAATACATGTATATTGCTAACAACACTTTCCTGTATATAAATATGTGCTTTAGTGCCAATAAAGAATTGAATTGAATTGAATTGAATATATTATAGCATGGATTGTGTTAAGTCAATTACAGAAAATCAGTAAATGACCATAGAAAATTTGGAAACACTATAATTGCAATCATATTAATTAATATCAATAGGAAAAAGGAAACAGAATAAGCAGTTTTGGTCTTCATGTTCTCTTAAAATTTTTACACTTAGTTCAATATTCATAGAGTGTTTCCATATTTTCGTAATATAATTTGTCCAAACAGTTGTGCTATCATAACTTCAAATTTCTGGATAACGTGGTGGATGGACATAAAATGAATACGATCAGGATATTATTGCTATTCCTGACAATTCAAGACATTGTAAAGCCAACACGACAGTGGAAGATACCATGCCCTAGTGTCTGTGTGTGTCAAAATAAAGAGGCGGTATGTAGTAATCATGATAATTTACACTACATGCCCCCTCTTCCCCAAAACATAAACAGCCTTGTATATAGCAACAATGGATTAATAGGATTCACAAGGAACGTATTTCTGAACATATCGAAGCTGCGTCTATCAAAACTTGTATTAATGCGCAATGATAATGTTCAACGAAACATTGACAAGCGAGCATTTCTAATGCTTCCTTATCTGGAAAGTCTTCACCTTAAAGAAAACGCACTGCTTTATGCTTTGAATGGTGGTTTACGGACTTTATTATGGGGGCTGAAGGATGGCGCAATACAGGAAATACGCCTCACACAAATGAACATATACAGTTATTACACGAATATGTTCCTAGATTTAAGAACGACGACATTGAAAAGGATTGTCATGGACAATAATATTATTCCGAATTTTACCAACGTGTCGTTACCAAGGGGATTGCATTATTTATCTTTGCAAAACAATGAAATAAACGAAATCTCTTTCAATGAAATACTGCCAAAACTTGAAACTATACAGCTTAACCAAAACAGACTCGAACATATTCCTTCATTTTGTATGGACGATTTCGGAAACAGTTCATTTCTTCCAAATCTAAAAGTTTTGGATCTAAGCAACAATCGCATAAAGCTGATAGGTAAATTAGATATAGTCGGACCATGCTATTCGAAACTCAAGAACCTTCGACTTGGAGGGAATATTATAAAAGGTATTGGTGATGACACTTTCAGTGAATTGCCCTCTCTGCTTTCTTTGTCCATCAACAACCTTGATCCCCATGTTTCCTTGGGATATCATTCATTAAACAGTTCATCATTAATTCATTTGGACATTGGCAACAAATTCAATGCTTTCAGTGAAAGGCTTGATGTTTTGTTTAGATATTGCCCTAATTTGAAGAGTTTGAATATGACAGGGGTACAATTAACAGCATATCAAGACGTTGCTGAGAAAATATTTCGTGTCTTCCGGTCGCTTAGAAAGATAGAAATTCTAATTCTAAAAAGAACGTCTTTAACAACATTCCCTAAAAAGCTATTTCCCATGATGCCCAAGTTGACAAACTTGTCTTTGCAAGATTGTCGCTTAAAAGATTCCCAGTTAAACAACTTCGTAAATGTAACATTGAATTTTTTGTTGCTGGATAATAATTTAATATCTACCATTACTAAGGCAAATATTCCTGAAAAAGTAAAACATCTTGGATTAAGTGGTAATCCTTTCTATTGTACATGCGATCTTGTATGGTTTCGAGCATGGTTACGACAAAATTCCGGAAAAATTTTGGGCTGGCCTTCAAACTATTCCTGTAGTCTTCCAAAGGAATGGGTAGATAAAAGTCTGTCCGATTTTGACTTAGATTATTCGTTTTGTCATCCCATTGACCCCTATATCGTATTTGCCATTTGTATATCCTCCGCTTTTTGTCTGTTTGTGATTATGTCTTTCATATTTTATAAAAAGAGATGGCAAATCAAATATCAGCTTTACCGATTAAGAGCAAAGAGAAGGGGATACCAGGTTTTAGGAGATCACGGATTTGCGTACGATGTTTTTGTTTCTTATAATTCAGCAGATAGCGTATGGGTCATTTCAGAAATGATTCCAAGACTGGAAAAGAAAGAGAAACTGAAATTATGTTTACATGAAAGAGATTTCGAAGTTGGCAAGCATATTGTGGATAATATTGTCGACGCCATACAAAACAGTCGCAAAGTGTTGATTATTTTGTCCAACAGATTTGCACAGAGCCAGTGGTGTCAGTTTGAATCCACCATGGCGCAACTCCGATCGATAAAGAATGGAGAGGGTGCAGTGATTGTAATTATTTTAGAGAACATTCACGTGCAGAATATGAGCAAGCCTTTAAATATCCTGATGAAAACCACAACTCTCATAGAATGGACAAACGACAAAAGGGCAAAGGAAATGTTGTGGGAAAGCGTTGTGTCTACCATTAAATCTTAAACTGTAATTAGTTGTTGCTAATATAGATTATAAAACAAACAAAGAAATACTTGGTTTACAAGATGAACAATATATTGCATGAATCATCTGTAGTTATGATAACATATTTGTACTCGTTTCGTGTTGGTAGAGATGCTTGTAAAATAATTATCGTCGTATATTTTGATTTTTTAAAGTTAAGAACCTGTGCAAAACAGATTTAGCAAATATAAATAACACTTCTAAACCACAAAAAAAACAATATTTTTGATAATCCCCTCGTAACGGAGTTGTTTTGGGATAGAATAACGATAGATGTCAAATCTTACCTTGATTCTTAGACATGCTCTTTGCGTGGGGATGCCCCACTGTGCTCTTATTTTAATTGCATTGCACTACATTTATTTGATATACTACATCTAGCAAACCTTTTGAATTTGTTTATATGCACCGCTTCTCAATCGTTTTACGCGCTATTACTTTTTTATCACATTTCCACATTGTATATATTTTTTTTGCTGCAATCTTATATCTTTTGTCATTTTTATTCAAGATTTTTGCGAAAATAAACAATTTAAAGGAAGTTTTTGTTTATCAAAATTATATTTCATTCCGTGAGGTACTGATTAAAAAAATATATATGTATTGAAATGTACTAAAGATGTGTTTTTATTAGTCTGTTAAACATATATATGAAATTATAAGAGGGCACTTAATCTCAGGAAGGACAGGGAAATTTCGACAATTACAGATTGCAATGCCTATTAAGGAGTATTATCAAGACCACTAATAGGGACGGGGTAATTGTCTTGTTTCAAATGTTCATAATTGTATCCGCTTCGATTAGTTTCAAGGTAATAATTTTCATCATTCTTGCTTTCACCATTAAAATAATGAGATTGATATTGAATCAGGCATGGAACACAGACTTGAATGTGATCCATTATTGGTGCAAGCTAATTGATAATTCCTCTTTAGTTCTGGTACGATTTTCAAAGTTATTATAAATTTTAAAAACTCATTCATGAAGACAACTGGCAATAAAAGCCGTTCAACCCGAACAAAATTATTAGAACTGTGTTGCTCTAATTTCTTATATAAAATGATAGTCTTCTTATCTTAAAAAATTATCAACTTTTTTAACCAACAAAAATTTAATTATAATTCTATTGTAATTTGATTTAATAAAAAATCTCCAAGTAAAGGATTCAATGGACATAAAAAAAATCAGCATGCTTCAAAAGAATTACTATCAAGTTGTGCTTGGAAGAGTTATAGCATTCCAGATTAGTGTCACCCGAAACAGAGAAAGGCGGACATTGAAAAATATCAGCATCCCTCCATTGCTTAAATACCCTGTTAAGATCATTACAATAAAAACTGAAACCATTTCTTCTAAAAGAAAGTTACTTAAACTTCATATTTAAGCATAGATTTTTTTTTACTTGTTATTCTTACCATTATCCAGACATTTTAAATTAAAATCAAATATTTAATTAAATCAAATCAAGGGTTGTTTGAAATGTTTGGCGGATAGAATTAATATTTGTTACAATATCATCATTATGTAAATTATTTATTTTCTTATTGTGTTAAGCTTTAATTTATGTGATGAACTGTTAATCTTGTTACCTAATTATATATTTCTGTTATGCAGATTTTACATTCAAAACTTTGTAAACACGAACCAATGTATAGAAATTTATTCCAACTTTTTGCAAATCGGGCTAGAAAAGATAAGATTATTTGTGGGAATAAGGTTGAATTTTCGTGTAATCAAATAATTAACTATAAAAATACATGTATAGTAACTACTATATAGACAATGATTAACCCCCTTCCCCGCAGTCACGCATTTAAACGCATATACCATTTCCTATTTCTCACGCAAAAATACTCATACACTGTTTCCCCGCAATCATGCATTTTTACGCACTTTAAAAAACTCATTTAATCGTCAATATAGGCCTATTGCCAAACTCTTTATATTTTATATTAACTCTCATAAAATAAAAGGAGTTATTTTGTTATTGAAATATCACGTTATGGTATTATTTACGCTGAACTTTAGAGAAACTTGTATAGCACTCTATAAAGTGCTTGCATGGAAATGGTAACGTCATATTTCTATGACCTGAACATTAAATGTATGTTGCATAACAATTCAGTAAGTTGTAACAAGTTAATGAACACCTTGTTGAATTAAAGATTGGGTATATTTGCTTTTAGAATTATAAATCAGACGTATATTCTACATTTGAAAGAAAAATGGATTTTAAAATCACAGTTTTCCCTTTAATCTTATATTTTCCTTTAGAATCCAGCTATTCAAATTCTTTTTTGCGTGATAAATCTATTTTTAAAATGTTTTTGTTTAAAACTCAAGATATTAAAGTATTTTTTCTATACCTTTTTTGGGAATTTGTCAAATCCAAATACAACCTGTGTGTGTACTTGAATAAAATAACACTTATTCTTCATAAATCTATTCATTATTGTCCATCTTAAAAAGTACAAAATGAAGGTAAATGGAAGAGGGAACGTATGGCATCTCCATATGAATGAAACAATTCTCGAGAGGGACGTTAAACAGTATACAATCAATCTAATAATTGTAAAATCAATTTAACTATCTAAAAAAATTTTATGTGCAAATTAGAATTGGTGAAATTTTTAAAAAACCCATAAGAGCAGAAATGTTAAAATTCAAAATTACTCAGTCTCTTAAAAAGGGAATATAGGTATGGAATACATACCAGCTCAATCGTGTGAAACGCAGATAGAAAGTAAGAAAGTTATCTCGAAAATCTGAATAAAATTGTTAGGTAGTTTAGAAAATGATGGTTATAAACAAATATATATTACTCTAATAATGTTTCTTTAAATCAAATTACTGAAACGTTTAATTTTGTTACTTTTTTATGGTTGAAAGGACATCAATAAAATTAAGTACAAAATACGATGGCATTTTGAGTTAATACATAAATTGTTATAAATCATAGGTCAGTAACTCTATTATAGAAATTATTAGCTCTCTATGATAAAATTAATAGACATTAAAAGTAGATAAAATTAATTATGCACTTGGACAAAAATTGCGACGATTTTTTTTGTTTTCATAGTAACCAAAAATGATCGGAAGACTTTTCAATTTTCTGACCATAGCTATGGCTTTCTATGTTCTCAGTCCTGGTAAGTGTCAAAGTCTTATTAAAACAATATGAACTACATTTTTGAAAACTTTATTTTGCTGTTAAGGTAGGATTTTCTCATATTTCTTGTATTTAAAAATTAATGAAATTTTCACAGAATCAAGAAGACAATATCAGTAAGTGATAGTATCAGTGAGATTAAATTTGACCCTTTTATATTAGATGCAAGGTCAGGTCAAGGTCATTATCTTTTTCCTTGACATTATGAATAAATAAATACTGCTGCCAATCATGTGATGCCTACTTCTATTTCAAAAGTTTAAAGATTGTTCCTTTTGCATAAAAAGATATTATTATATCCGGTCTGTAGTATGATATTACCAAAGAACTTTATTCGGTAATAACCAATATTTGCCCCCCAAATCAAACTTTGATGGATATACAGTCAAACTTGTTTTAAGAGGCCACCTTTGGGAAGCGTGGAAACTGGCCACTTAACACAGGTGGCCTCTTATTCCAGTTTTCCCTTGAAAAGGATATCGGTCAATAAATAAACAACATTAAACACTACAGTTAAATTAATTAATCATAACTAAACAGGTCAATTTCACAAAGGTTTTTTATGTGTATATAAAATAATTCAAGCTCATTTAAAATGAATATTAAAGAATTCGTTTTGTACATGTCTCTGTTCCTACATATAAGTTAAACATCAAGCATTCATCAGTGTGCTTTTGTTACATATTGAAATATTAGATAAATTCTTTTAATTTTCATTTGAAGGAATACATATAGTGACTGACTATTATCCTTCTTTATAAAGAAAAAAATACACAAAAATACAATTTAATGGTAAATAAAATAAAGCATAGAAATTTAATTAAGAATATGTCAAAAAACATTTCACTTACATATGTTAAAAAGATAGTCAGTAGTGTAACCCCCCCCCCCACTTAATTAATCGGTAATTATTTAACTTACTTGCTGAAGTTTTTAAAGTCTGGTTAATTTTATTGTTTATAAAGCTGTCAGAATTTTCTATGTAACATACACACACATACACAGATAAAATTAACCAGTTGACCAGAGAGATGTATTTACGCAGTTGAAAATTATTCCATAACACAGGTGTCACGTGCAGTAGAGCGTAACTAATCCCTATTGATCGTCTCCTGATAGTGAAATTCACGAGATAATCATGCCATATGAAGCACCTTGTTTTTACAAGAGTAGCAATTAGGGCTTCTACATGGAATCAAAATCTAAATGGTGTTTAATTTTTAAATCGGCGATCTTGAAAAATAATTACAAATTGATTCAACAGGACAAATATTCTTTTTTATAAACACAGAGTTCAGCGTATATTTGTTTGAGTAAATTAATATGTTTAATGACTACCGAGGATATAATTACCCAAGCCAAAGCGTTTATCACTCAGATGTGATAGAATCGCAACAAGTGACGAAATGGCCGCCTATTACAGTGTCAATAAGGCTGTTGGGGGAGGATTTGAGTGGCCGCTGGCCGCGTTACACAGGTGGCCGTTTATTCCAGTTAAAATATATAGGAAAAACCGTCGGGGGGAACTGAAAGTGGCCGCTGACCGCGAGTGGCCGTTGATTACGAGTGGCCGCTAAGACAAGTGTGACTGTATATTTAATTAAGTTCTTAAACGGGGGAGTATATGCTGACTTCAAAGCACTGAATATTTTCATAAGTAATGACGCCATATGTACGTAATGACGTCACAAACATGACGTAAATTTCAGTTTTTTTTAATGAATTTTACAGAAAAATGTACATATTTTGTCGATATTTTGTGTAAAAGTCACCGAGCGTATGTGTGTTCAGGATCAATATTTTGATATAATGTGTAGAATGATAATATCAATGAAATATGTCAATATTATTCCTGAACAAACTTGAGCTCTATAAATTTTAAAGCTATAATTGTTGAAATTTTGTCCATTTTGTCCTCTTTCTGAAAAAGAATATAAAATCGGACTAGTTTGTGACGTCATAAAAACAAGAATTGTGAATACACTGCTTTGACACTATAATATTTTCTGTTAATTTATATTTCTTACACAATTTATTGACTTCAGCACATTTCAGGAAGTTTTCAAAATATGACTTTTGTGGGGGCAAATATATGCAATATACCGCATATAGTTCTTTACATAAATAATTTAATTAAGTTGGATATTGGCTAATCCGAATTGTCTCTGCTTTTCTTAATTTTTTAGGATATATTAGTTATTTTCGTATGCTTCCTATATTTAACTTTTTCTTATTTTCACATATAATAAAGTTGTTTTATAAATGTACAAAATGATACAAGAAAAAATTTTTTTTTGATCGTTTACCAAGAGAGAAAAATACTTTTTATGGATTTCTGGCTCAAATCTGTACTTTGATTGGAAGCGTTTAAAAGCCTACATAGTTCTAGTTTGTTTGAAAAATCATATTCATCTGATATATTTTGAAAGTTTAATCCCCTATTATTAATTTTACCTACATTTGAAATTTCTTCAAATCTTTGATTGTGTAAAAATCATAACTAAATTCATTGCTCTTTTATAATTTATGAAAGCAGAAAAGAAGATATTTTCATACGCCACCATTCCGCCAAAAATATAGTCCCTGCTAGTTTTCAAACGCAATTTACCATTTCTATTTCAAGTTGTAAAATTCTGATGAGAAAAGAAAAATAATATCTTTTAAATCCCTTACACCTAAATATATAAGACATATAAGCAAATATACTTTGGATGTTTCATCTAGTCAGAAACCAGAGAAGAATCCTACCTTAAGGACGCTCTAAACACTGCAAACTAAAGAGATGTATTTATAGGGTATTTTTTGCAGATAGAGTGATCTGCCCTTCAATGTAAGATTAAAGAAATTGTTATTTACAGTTAAATACATGATTTGTAATAGATTAAAATATTTTAAGCATTATATAAGACCTAGAGTAAGAATTAGATTTATCATTTTCATTAATTTTACCAATGTAAGTAAACAACAATGATTTCTGCTTAAAAGTAGTCCATTGTCTATGAACATTTTCCCTGCGCAAATAAGCCACGTACTCTATGTTCCAAATAAATGAAAAAGTCCCATATGCATACTTTGATAGGATATATTTTTCTCTCAGTCCAAAAAGTAGTTTCTGTTGGTGTTTAGAGCTTCCTTAAATGTGTTATTATGATAAATGTGTATGTAATATAAACCTTTACTATTAATTAGACTAAAATAAAGCAATAAATGTTTTAAGAAAGACTTCTAAACAATCCAATATACAATATGCAGTATTAAATAATAAAATCGTTATTGTGCGTACAGGAGGAGAAATTGTAATTTTGATTAAATCGAAGCCTATAAATAGTTTTAACATCGCAAATATGAACGACAGAAGTTTATGAACATCCTTTTTCTGTCATTGAATTAGATATTTACAATTTTGCAGCAAGTAATTCCGACATCAAACATAAAGCTCGGATTGCTTTAACTGCTTTTTGGGGCCTCTCAAAAGGAAAAAAGAACAGATTTGGCTTATGTTTATATTGCCCCTTTTATTATAGAGGGTCGATTTTTAAAGCGAGAGGGTCAGGAATACACTAACACAAGTTTTGAACTCACGGACTCGCGGTGTATGAGACTGTATTCGTGCCCTAAGACACCACCGGAAGTTGTTTTCTTTGGAGACAGAGAAAAGGGTGAAGCTACCTTAAGAGGGAACTATTTCACAGAAGTCTGTAGGTGAGACATTTATCAATTTGTTCTCGAAGTATAAAATCAAAGGCGATCGTTAAAAGTTTTTAATTAGATAAAAAAATTTATATAAATGTACTCATATTATATGTCTCATTTAATGATAATAATTCTAAAACAAAAACACTTTTACTCCAGTTATTATATTCATCGTCGTAAATTCACAAACAGTGAACTTATAGACAAATGCGATGAAGTATCAGTAAACACTTCTACAACATTCGATCATGGAATTTAAAATCCTTAGAATACCTAGCATGTTTTAAAACATTGAATGTTAGTGAGCACAGAACATAATAAGATTTCAATATCATATAATAGCAACATCTTCAAACACTTAACTACGCCTATAATCAAATGATCATTGATCACGTTTGAACTGTAAGATACCAGCGAGCTCTCCATAACAAAAAGCTACTTTTATCTTAAAAGATACCTCTGAAGACAATGCTATTAATTTGCTAATGAATATCTTATAATAAAAAACCACCATCATTTCGTGGTCAGAAACACAATAATAAGATGAATGTCATTTTTTTTTTCATTTTTTTTAAATCAACGAAGATTAAAATTAGATTTTGATATATATGCACCATTCTTTTTAATATGGAACGTATTTTTTTTTTACAGTCATCCTTCTTGATATAACAAAATATTATTAAGTATCAGAAGATTGGTAGATGTTAATCCTATTACTGTCTCCATAAAAATGATCACATATAGACAATATCATATAAAATAATGGTTAATCATTTCAGATATTGGTGAAATTAGCCAGGTGTTTAACATGGGTAGCTTTAAATGAATCGTGTAGTTTCAATATGTTTAAATACCTATATCAAAATATAGGTATCTGAGGGAACTAATTCAATGTGGAAAAGACCTTAACATTAAGGCTCTCCCAGAATGCAATGACGAAAGAAATCTTCTTCTTATAATTGCTGCCAGGGAAACAAGCATGTGTAAAAATCCTATATTTCCTCGTAAGTATTTATATGTCATATGGTTTGTATATTTTTCATGATCTCTGGATATTCAACATGCATACAAGTAATTAATTAAGGCCCTGTTTAGTTCTTCAAGGGCTGCAACAGTGTATGAATAGCAGATACCTGCAGCTCGATAGATACAGAAAAGAAGTCATAGCGTTAATGGAATCAACACGTCAACATCCTGCAAATAATGAAATGTCAAAAAATCTTTTCTGTCGGTAAGTTATGATTAGAAATTAAATTTGATGGCCATTTTATTATCACCCCCACTCTCTCTCTCTGTGTTTTTGACATTCCTCTCTCTCTCTCTCTGTTATTGACACTTCCCCCCCTCTCTCTCTCTCTGTCGTTGACATTCCTTTTCTCTCTCGATGACATTCCTCTCTCTCCCTCGTTGACACCCCCTCTCTCTGTAGAGTCTTTTATGTAGTTTTTAATGCGAAAGAAATCTAAATTCAAATATATAAATGCAAAAAATAAAGCCCACATGGTATTTTTATCATCTATTTTCGAAAAAAATGTTTTCTTTTAAACAGATCATACAGCCAGCTCTTGGATAAAACATTACAACAGTTGAAAAGTTGCAATGAGATTGAATTTCAATGGACATCGCAAAATACAGAAACATTTAGACATCGTTTCTATCCAGCAATTATTGGGGAGGAGATGAATTTTCAATGTCCTGATCCTGCAGAAATTTAAAAACTGTTAAAAAATCGTCATGGAATGAAAATGAAATTAATTAATGCAGTAATAAGTGTTTTTTATTTACAGAAACAAACAAATTAAATATATACAGATCCAAACATTTAAAATACTTAAAGCTTTTAAAAGACACACTCACATACAGACATACACTTCCATACAGCCACAAAATCTACAAATACATATGTTTTATATTTGGATATTTTACTTTACAACCAAGCTCTATATTAAACGTGATGACTTTTCTATCGTCAGCTTCCCTTACTTATGCAGTAATACTAGTATACCTCATCACCCGCATCCAGAGTTTATGTATATCAGTTGATTTGATACGCAAGAGAATGCTCTAAGTATAACCAATTTTCAAAACTAGGTAAATTATTGACAAACAGGCTGATGAAACAAGAATATCAGCAGTTTAAATTTAAAATCAGTAAAAAGTTCTATAGTCGATACAATAAGCTTGTCCACAAATACAATTTCTCATTGAGTCAAATACTGAATGACGTTTTCTATGCTAATTGTTAGTCCATTATTTATACACTGCATTGACGGCGGATTTTTCTGATATTTCCCGATCATGACAAGGAGCATAAGGCGGATGTGACCGATCGGCACTCCTCCATGGCATTTGATCCCACCTCTGATGTTTTTCCTTGTTTGTTCTGCTCCTATTTTGTATTGATCCATGTATATGGACTTTTGATCTTGAATACTGTTCGTTTTCTCCATATGATTTATCCAATTATACAAAGAAAATGAAAAAATGAAGAAACAAAAAAAATAATACCTTAAATCACATTTTATTCCATTGACCTTTATTTTTTAATAAATACAAAGAAAAGAAGAAAAGAAACTCAAACATGGTCTAGATTTAATCATATATACCTTTGTTACCATTTTGAAGCAGAGCAAACTATTATTTATTGTGATTGTGTATTTTAATGTGTAATGATAAATTCTTTTTACAAAAAAATTTTAGTAATAAAAATTACGGAACTTTATAATCCAGTTGTGTATTCTATAACCACCTTGCTTTAATGCATGTGAAATATGATGATATAAGTGAAAATATTTTTTATGTAGTTACTGTTGAATTTTTCAAAGAAAAAATAGATTGGTTGTCTTTTTTCAGTTCACCCTAATTCGATTTACAAAATTGAAAGAGGTATAAAAGAATATGAAACACTTTACATGTGGATCGAAGTTTCACCAATGAAATATGAATATAGTAAACGGTTTAAAATATACATGTTCTATTTATATTTTCATATCTATACTTAACGACCACAGGTAGTTTTTATAACTCATTTCAGTACTTAGAGTTACGAAGTTTATAACATTTTTATTTGTTTTATTCTTAAAAATTTAAGTGTATATTATTATTGATATATTCAGGAAAACTTCAAACGCAGTTCTTTTTGCATTAAACACCAACATGGCTGTACAGCTCGAGAAGCAGTTTTTTTCTTTTTATCTTGAGAAGAGTTATAACATAAATATTCTTACAATTTGAAATATTTCCATTTCTATTTGTTTTCACTGTGATAGCTCTTTGAAAGTTAGTGAAGTTGATTTGCGGAAACTATAGTTAGTTTAGTATTCCGTGCATCAACGATAGTGGGAAACATGGGATAATTTGCAAGCCCGTTATGCATAAATAATCCCAGGATTCCCACTATTGTTGATGTCCATGGCATATCATACTAACTACACCGTGATTCCTTATATTTCCAATTAATTGTGAGATAAAATTGTAGATTTAGATTTTAAATGTAGACTAATATATTTAAATTACACTAGTCCTCCCATATCCTCCTTGGCCCCTGACCTATCGATTTGCCTAATTTACATTTTGGTGAAATTATCAGGAAATATTTCCATTTCTATTTGTTTTCTCTGTGATAACTCTTTGAAAGTTAGTGGGGTAGATTTCTTGATAATACTGCCGGAAATTAGGCAAATTTATAGTTCAGGGGCTTAGTAGACGTTAAGGAGGCCTAACATGCATGTAAATCTCGTGCGGCTGTCTTTGTGTTTGATTTCAGTGGGCAAGGACGATTGAAATTAACATGGGAGGCCTTGTGGAATTTTAAATTTATTAGTCTACAGTTTTAAAATATAAATTTACAATTTTATTTCACAATGAAATGGAAATATACGGAATCACTGTCTAGTTAGTTGAGTATGCCAGGGACATCAACGATAGTTGCAAACGTGAGATAATTTATGCATAACGGGTTTCGTCCCTTATGGAATTCATCCCACATTTCCAACTACCGTTGATATGCCCTGGCATACTCTACTAACTAGACAGTGATTCTTAAAGTAAAAAATCAATTTAGAAACGATGATATATTGTGCAAACACTGCAGTTCAAACTAACTTATCTCGTAAGGAATGCTTTTAAGGTACATAAACCCTCTGCTCACTCATATAAAATGTTGATGAACCTTAGTGATTTTCAAAAAGAAATGTATTTTATAAGTAAAATACAAACAATTATAGCATAGCTTGCGGGACAAAATTAGACAAAAAAGACACTTCAATTTGGCAAATCTATAAAAGAATAATAGACATTTATGTAATTAAGAGTTATCTCTCTTATCAGAGTATCAATGAACCTTAAGTGAGTTATTGGTGTGTGAAGCACACAGAATTGTCACTTAGGCATATTTCATGGACCGCGCTTATGCTTCATGAAAAATACGCCTGTTTGCAAGTCTGTGTGATTCACACACCAATAATTCACACTAAACTTAACAACATTCCGTATATTGACCTTTCACATGTTTGGAAGCACCAAATATATACTCAATATTGAATTTCTTGCTACCCTATATCATTATACTTTTACTAACGTCGCTGTAGCCTCATTCTGACGTCGCGTTAGCGCACGTTTCTCCTGTTAATTTCTACGCCTGAGTATACACGAAAATGGTTTTCAAATCAATTTCACAGCTGTCTTACTAGAAAAACACAGCAAATGTAAATATATTAGAATGACTAGAGAGACAAATTAATTTCAAGTAAACATGAATAGATAAGTTTATAAATTTATTTTCGTATTTCCTGAGAAGTAAGCAGAAGGATAAAACGTACGCTCAACTAGGACCTCGGGTCCCCCGCAAATAGTTCGTCATTTTGCGTAGTAATAACACATTTTAGGAACTCTTCAGACATTATAGGCACAAAAGTAAATTCATCGATATCAATACGGAGACCTAGGTCCTCTTATATATTGATTGAATTTTATATGATATACAGTTTTCTTTGTCTTACTCTAAAATAATCATATTTATAACTTTATACAGATCTACTTTCTAAATATATATATATATATATATATATATATATATATATATATATATATATATATATATATATATATATATATATATATATATATATATATAAGCAGAAACGTTAAAGTAATCAGAGGGATCAGGGGTAAACTTATATTATACATCAGTGGGGAAACCAGAGGTCACCTTATATTGTACATCAGTAGAGGGATCATAGGCCACCTTACATTTTAAATTAATAGGGGCCCAAAGGTAATCTTATATTGTACATCATTTGGGGGACCAGAGGTCACCTTAGATTGTACATCAGTACGGGGACAAGTGGACACCTAATATTGTACATCAGTAGGGGGACCAAATGTCACCTTATATTGAACATCAGTAGAGGGACCAGAGGACACCTTATATTGTACATCAGTAGGGGAACAAGAGGTCACCTTATATTGAACATCAGTAGGGGGACCGAAGGTCACCTTATATGTACATCGATAGGGGACCAGAGGTCACCTTATATTGTACATCAGTAATGGGACCAGAGGACACCTTATATTGTAAATCAGTAGGAGGACCAGAGTTCGCCTTATATTGTACATCAGTAGAGGGACCATAGATCACCTTATATTGTACATCAGTAGGGGGACCAGAGGACACCTTATATAGTACATCAGTAGGGGGACCAAAGAGCACCTTATACTGTACATCAGTAGGAGAACAAGAGGTCACCTTATGTTGAACAACAGTAGGGGGACCAGAGGACACCTTATATTGTACATCAGTAGGAGGACCAGAGGTCGCCTTATACTGTACATCAGTAGAGGGACCAGAGGTCACCTTATATTGTACATCAGTAGGGGGGCCAGAGGACACATTATATTGTAAATCAGTAGGAGGACCAGAGGTCGCCTTATACTGTACATCAGTAGGGGGACCAGCGGTCACCTTATACTGTACATCAGTAGGGGGACCAGAGGACACCTTATATTGTACATCAGTAGGGGGACCAGAGGTCACCTTATATTGTACATCAGTAGGGGGACCAGAGGACACCTTATATTGTACATCAGTAGCGGGACCAGAGGGCACCTTATATTGAACAACAGTAGGGGGACCAGAAGACACCTTATATTGTACATTAGTTGGAGGACCAGAGCTCACCTTATATTGTACATCAGTAGAGGGACCAGAGGACACCTTACACTGTAAATCAGTAGAGCTGGGACCATAGGTCACCTTATATTGTACATCAGTAGGGAGACCAGAGGTCACCTTATATTTTACATCAGTAGGGGGGCCAGAGGACACCTTATATTGAACAGCAGTAGGAGGAACAGAGGTCACCATATATTGTACTTCAGTAGGAGGACCAGAGGTCACCTTATATAGTACATCAGTAGGGGGACCAGAGGTCACCTTATATTGTACATCAGTTGGGAGACCAGAGGACATCTTATATTGTATATCAGTAGGAGGACCAGGGGTCACCTAATTATGTTTATCGGTAGAGGGACCAGAGGTCACCTTAAATTATATTGTACATCAGTAGGGGGACCAGAGATCACTTTATATTGTACATCAGTAGGGTGAACCAGAGGTCACCTTATATTGTACGTCGGTAGGGGGACCAAAGGACACCTTATTTTGTACATCAGTAGGGGGACTAGATATCACCTTATACGAGGGCTGTTGAGTAATAATGTCCTCTAGG